CACACACACACACACACACACACACACACACACACACACACACACACACACGTGTGGGCGCACTCACACAAACACACTCTTCAGGTCACCAAGGAGAGTCACAAACTTACTGAAGAGATGTCCTCCAGAGGCAGCCGCTGCAGTTGACAAAAACAAGGAACCTGAAGTCGATGCTGCAGAGGTGGCAGAGGTCACAGGTCCTCCAAACAATGGCGATGAACTTGCTGTACCTGTTGCTAGCATTGATGCAGCACCAAATAATCCAGTTGTGGTTGCCCGGGTAGTGTCTGGGGTGCTAGCACCTTGCCTACACGATGATGACATGTTCCCAAAAGAATGATTGGTGATGGTGAACCCTGGCCCGATGCTTGACATCGTTCCTTGCAAAGCACCCTGACCAGCAACACCCTGTGCAGGAGGTGCAGTCATTAGGCCAGCTTGCAGTCCATGCGGATTCCTTGATTTTGCCTTCTTTAATGTCTCACTTCTGTCAGCGTCGATCAATAGATCCCGCTCATCTGCTCTCCTCCTCCTTTCGCAACTGTATGCTGTCTTTCCAGTTTGAACAAGACTATGTAGTGCTTCTTCACGTGCTGCTACATGAAAGAACAAGTCATGTACGTTTGACAAGGCTGCTGGAGGACTCTCCAGGATTGGCGAGTCCCCACCTCCAATTGCATCCATGGCTGAGACAGCATTCCCATCCTCCATAGACCTCGTGGAGCCTCCAGGATACCGACCAGGAGACCGAGAGTGAACAAGCAGGTGCTCCAGCTTCTGCACTCTCTGTTGATAAGAGTATGCTCCAGTTCTGCAAGTGCTTTCGGCAAGAAAAGTGAAGCAAGTAGCAGAATTGCAGAGTAAAAATCAGCCGACACTAACAGAAAAAGTTCCACATTGTCAGTCTTGCTACCCCGTCTTCACTGCTTATAAAACGACAACCATCATTGCTCACCATAAGCACCCAGGCAACATTTGCCCACGTGCAGGGAAGAAGCTGGTGTGACACCGAAATCTCAGCTCTAAGTAGATGAAAGATATAACAGCAACCTTTGCGTGCAGCAAATGTTCCTCTACATGGCAAGAAAGACATCGCCGAGATGATTGCTCCTCCGCAAAGGACACTGACAAACTGGCTATGTTCTAAGAGCATGCGGTGAACAATCATTACCCACCATTCTGCGAGGGCGCATGGCATTTTAGTTGTTCCAAATGCAGAGCATCGTTTTCTCCAAGAACTTTTGATCTCAGTATCCACAAAACAGATGAGGTTTTGCAATTGACTCCTTGCATGGCGAACAAAAGCAAGACTATAAAGTAGTAACAGTGGAGCCTGACATTGAGGACCCTGAGTGCCTTTCTTTGACTGCAACTTGTTCCAATGGGTATAGTATTTTGCAAACAAAGAAACATTTTGCAAGGGGTCCGTGCGCAAACCAAGACCTTAGTTTCCCACCTTTGTTACTTCAAACTCTGTGTGCATCACAATCAAGATCCAAGTCATGCCATCCTTTTTTTCTCAATACCTGCAAATCCTACGTCAACACCAGCTCACATAGTGCCAGAATGGTTTTTTTTAACCTATTTCTGCAATTTGTAATGAACCCAGACTGGAAGATACTCGTCAGACATCAAAGCACAAGTAGACTCAGATCTGCACTCCAGTTATCGTGAACGTGATATCTGATACAATATCTCGTTACCAATAGACGAAAAGAGTGGAGGGGGAATAGACAGAGGAGAGGGTGGAAGAGATAATCAGTGACCACACAAGAGTAGCCCAATCATTTCCCACTCCTTCTCCGGGCTTCCCTTCGCCTCCACGTCATCAATCAATATACAGTAACAAGTCTGATAAGTCCTGATCACATAGAAGTGCCACGTGGCACTATCATCTCAAGGAGACAATGAAGACAACAGCAGTGCACGGTATCGACGTCAACCTCAGGTGAGTACCAATTTCCCAATCATCCACAGATCCCAATCTCCCTCCTTTCAGAGCGACCCTTGCAGAGCGACCTTCCACCCCCTCCAAACCGTGGGCTGCCTTCGACCCCTTGGGGCCCTGCAGTCCTGCTAAGTAGCTGCTTCCATCCACCAGGTGAATCTGAGCCCACCTCCTGCAATCCTCACAACCCTCCCTTTCCCTAAGACCCCGTGTTCAAACTTGCATCTGATATCCTTGGCTTTTGCCGGGTTACTCTTCATCCTACCCTGTGTCTGTTTCCGTTGGCCTCTGAATTCGGTCTCTATGAGGTTTTTGTAAATGTCCTTGGCTTCCGCAGTGGGCCTTTGCATCTATTGTCTCTTGGCATCCCCTCTTCCAAATTGTCCACAGGGCATACTGTCTCAGCATTTGGAAACTCCTAAGCTGAAATCGGGACCAAGAGCACGGAGCCCCCTTACCGAGTTGTAACAGCACCGGATCATTCGGGAAGTGGAACTCAAAAATCTTGCACCAAAGGGGGGGGAAGCGGGGGGCGGGGGTGCATGCTTCTTCCAGTGTGCGTGCGCATCCAACACTCAGAATGAGCAAAAAAGTGTGTTCACGCGTCATTTCATGTGTACATGTGTGTGCATGCTCTGTACAGTATGTGTGTGCTTCATTCTTCATTCTTTTCACTTGCTGCCCCACACATAACAGTACCTCTATGGAAAACAGAGACCATGGCGTCTTGTCTTGCCAGCTCACCCGCATGCTTATTCTGTCAGTTCACTGCATTGGCAACACCTCAGTCAAGTCCTTGCTTGCTCTCTGGACATGCCATGGTGTCAAACTCGCCATGCTAATAAATAAGATCTCTTGAGTGTGACAGCCAAGCCTGGAAGCACCGCAAGTTTGTCTGATGATGATGTGTAGCGCCAAGAACAACAAATACCTCCCATACTTAATCACGTACACTGGCACCCGGGTACACAGTGGCAAATATGGTGAGATGGACTAATGCAACGTTGAAGTAGCAAGCTCGCCCTTCAGAATCACAAACGAAATTTGGGGCTGACCAGAATCATGCAATGACCCTATTGTGCATCAGTTCACACCACCAGTCGCTCTGAGCCTCTTTTTCCCGTCCCATGCGTCTGCTGTGCGGCAAAAGAAAACAAACCTGTGCAGGCACAAAGTCGTTCCCTTTTCCCTGGAGCCATCGGCCTTTCCCTTTGGGGAGGCCAAGCCACTGTTAACGCAACTAGCGGTTTAAACCACCAGTACACCACCAAGCTTTGCCAAACCGCCAGCAGTGCACTTTTTTCCTTTTTGGCTGGCGCAACCAGCCATTGTGGCTCGGCAGGCCTGAGCCGGGAAATTTTCGGAGTAGGCCGTGAACGAATTTCTGCAAGGCTGGGGCTGGGTACTGGCGGTTTAAGTCACTGATTGTGTGGACTGTAGTGGTCCCTCTATGTCCGTCCTTGACCCTTCTGCAGTGAGGTTGCCTCCTGTTGAACCACCTGTACGTTGACGGCTTGCCCGACTTATTACGCATAATGAGAGATGAGGGTTGCGCCCTCTCACAAACAGACCATGGCAGTCTGCAACGTCAGATGGGTGCCTTCCAATAGATTGATTGGTGAACCACAGTAAGAAATGGAGGTCGATTAGCCGTGTCGGAGACAAAAAGCTGGCAAAGGGAATGGCGGTTTGGACTGCAGGGGTCCCTCAATGTCCACCCTTGACCCTTCTGCAGTGAGGTCGCCTCCCATAGGACACCTGTACGTTGACGTGCTGGACATCTTACAGGTCATTGATAAGGGCTGTGTCCTCTCACAAACAGACCATGACTGGCTGCAACATCAGATGGGTGCCTTCCAGACAGATTGGGATGGAGTACAATCGACCACCACAACCTTCACAGAGCATCTGACTGTTGCGTCATACCGGGTGGTGGATATGCTTACCTAGGATCGAATTGAAAGAGACAACTGCATGCCAACTTGATGCATTGAACTACAATCTCCTTGATCACATGACCATGGCGACAATCAGGCTTGGTTGGTGATGCCCAGAAAGGCAACACTCATACTATGAGAAGAGGACGGATTTAGGCTCGGCACCTCACAGCTTGCAAAAACAAACGGCCAACTTCATATGTCATGCTGGTCAGAGTGAGAGCCTTAACCATATCAGCCTCACATCCGTGGTAGATCTCACTCCCTCGACCATCATCAACAATGCTCAGCAATCTTCCAACGACCGACAGGCCTCAACCTACTAGTAGTGCCTCCCACACCCCCTGTAAATCTCCTACAGCACTCCGCCGTAGCCGTCTTGCTGCCTTGGTCCACTTGCGGCAAATTTCGCGCCACGAACGGCTATAATGGGAATGCCTTATGTTCTGCGGGAGACAGCAGTCCCATAGTCCATCTAAGACCAGTACTTGGCCTGGATCTCCGTGAACATACGTTTGAAGGAGTTGTCCACATTGATGCAGTCCCGATCGCAATCGCCGTCGTCATTACCCACCTCCCGACCCCACCCATGCTCTTCCCTCCTCTTCTCCTGCCTCCCCTCCTGCTTCTGGACCTTCTCCCCTCCCCCACCGGCGCCTCTACCCACCGGCGCCTCTCCCCCCGGCCGCCTTCCTAACCAGTCTCCTCCATGTCCTGTAACCCGCGTCGCCACTCTATACCTCCTGCACAGCTGAATTGGGTATAGACAATCTCGCCTAAGCTGCAGAAGAGGTGAGAAAAGGAGAAGATAACCGAAAAGCAAAAACCAAGACCTACAAAAGGAAAGAAAGGGAAAAACAATCAAGAACCTGGATTAAGTCCAACCCATTTTTCTCCTGCCGGTCTCTCCTCCTCCTGTTCCTCTCGCTTCCGTTGAGTTTGACTCTAGTTCGACTCTGTGAAATGACTTGAGAGGTGTAGAATAAGTGGGAGCTTTACGGCGCATGAGAAATACCACTACTTTTAACGTTATTTTTCTTCTTTAAACAAACAAACAAAAAACTCCAATAACGCAAATCAGCGCCCGGTGTTTTCCAGCTTCTCCCTCTACCTCATCAACGTGGCAGAGCTCGATTGCACTGAAAAAAACTCTCCTCCTCTACAGAAGAGACCGACCAAGAAATAGAAAGAGAGAGGGGAGGGGGAGAGCAAGAGAGAGACATGACAAAGGTAAAATCAGGACATCGGAAACCCCGTAGTCCCTCCAAGAGAGAGGCATGACAGAGGTAAAACCAAGACATCAGAAACCTCGTAGTCCAGCAGCGGGATCGAGAGATGGAGAGCGAGAGAGAGAGAACCGTCCAGATTTGCTACTTCACACCACTCCTTGTCATGAAATAATTTGGACAAAAATAACAAGCCGGAGGGGGAAAGATCCCGAACCGCAAGACCGAATCCCCGGTTTTCTCCATGACCGATCCCGGCAGACACATCACACTGTCCCTCTCCCACCTCCACAAAGCGGGGATATCAACGATCCCGATCTTGACAGTGACCGCCTCTCCTCCCCGACCTCCTCCCGCCATTCTCTAATCGCGACCTTGTATCGCTGCGCAGGTAGCCTTCCTCAAGGTGTGTCCCGACTTGCCGATCCTCGATCGCTTCCAACTCCGACGACGATTACCTCTCCTGTTGACACCGACCCCGACACCTTGCCGCAATTGCGCCCTCTCCCGCGCATCCCGACAAACCTCTAGCTCCTTCGGTACGGTTCCCGCCGTTCCTTCCCTACGCGGTGTCCCGCCGATAGCAATCTACTTCGCCGCCACGCCAACATCACCCCGTTCTTCCCATCAACCCCGGTCCACATCCTCTCTTCCGGTTTCTGTTCCCACTCCCCCTTCCCACGATGAGGTGATTAACCCCTTTTCGATCATTCTTTTCTTCATTTTTTTTCCTTTCAACATTTTAAGGGAGTGAGGGAGAAGGGAGAAGGTAGTGAGAGGAGGAACCGGAAGAGCGGATGTCGGGATCCTCTTCCCCTCAAAAGATCTTATCTTCCTCATGCCGTCTTTCATATGGATGGATCTTTCCGTCACATTTTCGAATTGTCCGCACCCGGATGCCCAACCTCTTCAAATCCCCTTCTGTACCCCTCCTCCCTCCCTTCCTCCGCGCGACGACATCGCAGCACCGCCCACTAACATATGTACTGAATCCAACAATCGACACACAGCATTCCAGCGTCGAAAAGTTTGCTACTTGAAGGTAAATGCATAGACGAGATTTCCGAATAGTGTCCTGAACACTATTTCCATTTTCCGCACGTTTCTAGACTTTAGGGCATACTCACACTAGGACGTCCGTTCCATGTACATGACCGCAATTACAGCTTCGCTTCAGATTGAAAGGTCCTCGTGTGAAAATAAAACCTTAACCAGTTCGAACGTCTCTGAACGTGGCTGCATTGCCCTCATGTACGCGTGCTAGTCATCTGCCACCGCCGCCCCTTCCTCCGCCTAGCATGCCGCCTCCTACTACTACTTGTCGTCCTCAACTTCGCCTCCACGTTTTCTTGTTTTTTTCCCGAAAGCTGCCGGCTTCGATGAAAACATCAAAGGGGGAAGGTGTATACGACGACGCGGAGCATGGGAAGACACGAGCAGGAGGAGGAGGAGGTCGACGACGATGAGGAGGAGGAGGAGGAGGGGGACGACGACGATGAGCAGGGCGGCGACGAGGAGGAGGACGATGTGCGGTGGAGGAGGACGACAACGACGACGATGAGGACGACGTGGCAAAAACGTTGATGATAAAGGAGGGCGTGACGGGGCAAAGGAGATTTTTCTTATCTCTTCTCTTCTTCTCTTTCTGAACGACTGACTATCCGTTGATGATAAATCGGGAACGGCAAATATGTCAAGATCCAAGCCGAGCGCCGTTTGCGTAGTAAAGTTGCTTCCCCCCTTTCTTTCTCTTAGACGCTGGGTGGGATAGATTTTGTAAACGAGACCGATCGATGAGAACGAGGGAAAATCCTAAGCGGCCGAGAACACAAACAAGCCCGCGCGCGTGCGCACACAAAGAAAAGAAACTGAGTGGCAAGGAGACGCGACGAAACCAGCGCGAAGAAGACGGTCGTTCTCTCTGCAAAACCCGTGATCGGCTCTGCTCACAGCTGGTGTGCGCAGGGCTGGCACTGGACTTGTTGCCAAGAGGACGATAGGGATCGCACCTCGCCTTCAAGGAAATCCCTATCGTCCACGTGGCAACAAGTCCACTGCCAGCCCCGCGAAGAAGTGGACCTGGGCGATTCAATTTGAACACACAGATGGCGTGGGAGATCCAATTTCAACATACACGCTGCGCCGCTGTCGAAGGACGGTGTGGGAAGGACAAGCTCAAATGGCGAAGCTGACTGGAGGAGAAGAGAAGAAGAGAAGAGGGAGGAGCAGTCGATCTGCGATAACCATGACGACGAGGAAGGGCTGGAGTTAAGTAAGAAGAACGTAAACACTGACGTGAAGAGGTCGAAGTAGGAAGAAGAGGAGCCGGGTACGCTGAATTCGTATCTTCCGTTTCTGCTCCCTCTCACCTACCATTTGTTCGTCTTTCCCTTTTCCCTCGGTAAAGATCAGAGTCCTCAAAACCCTTAATTACTTCTCCGCCACCGCACGATCGTCCTCCGCCTCCTACTCCTCTTCCACTTCCTAAGGCTAACCCTCCACATCTTGCAAAATATTTCGTCTTCAAGTAGTAATTCATTTGCTGAGTAGAAAAACAGTCGATTTTTGAACGCTTCCTTATTAGCTTATCCTATTACCAGTTCACAATCACCTCCCCTGATTAAAAAAAAATATCCGGGTAGAAACGACAAGGAAGATGCCTTCTAAGTTTCGTCGGCCGTTCACCAACTGATCAGAGAGCGATATGAAGTACCTCCGCACGCGCACGCGCAATACAAACACACAGACGGGTGGTGTGACGACGAGTAAAGAACACAGCAAAGCAAGAAGGATACGATGGAGGACGAGAGAGAGAGAGAGAGAGAAACAGAGAGAGAGAGAGAAAAAGACAGATCTCTCCCGCACGGCGCACGTCACATCCCGCCATGATCGCTCTCTGGTCGGCTCCCCCAAAAGCTACCGTCTTCACCCGAACACAACGCGCCCTGGTCATGAATTTTATACAAGGGATCTTTCTCGTCCGGTACATCCATGATGACGGTGCGTTGTGCTCGGGGGACAACGGAAGTTTGTACATCGTTGGAGTGGATGTTAAGGGGATGTCCGGGTGCAGTGGGACGGATCGACGGTGGGTAGGGTCCCTGTCAGGCTGTCGAGAACGACGGAAATCGCTCGATTTCGACAAGCATACCAAGGTGTTGTTGGGGGACAGTGTGGAACAACGAGGAGAAGTGAAAATGACGAGAAATGACTGACGAATCGAAAGATGACGATGAGGAGGAGGAGGAGGAGGAGGAGGAGGAGGAGGAGGAGGAGGAGAAGGACAAGGGAGCGGGAAAGGAGCGGGGCTGAGACGATAATGATTTTGATATGATTTTTGTTTCCCTGCTCACCGTCATCATAATTCTCATCCTTCTTTCATCCTTCAGGCGAATGCGTTGGGAACAATAATTGGAGTAACTACAACTCCACATCTCGGAAAAACCCTCGACTTCGGAAATGTCATTTGTTTATATTTAGTCATCTTCAAAGCCTTTTGCCGCCGAACGGGCAAAAAACGAAAAAAGAAAGATGCTGTGATTACTTCATTGGCCCTTCAAAAACAAATCGGGCCAATTGACTACACCGGCCAAGAGCACGCGCACACACGCGCCCGCGCGCGACGATCGACAGACAGACAAGAATGAAAGAAGACTGAAGAAACGAGAAAAGGCGGACGCCTAAAATATGATGAATGGAGAGAACGACATGGACAGGGAAAGAGATGAAAGAGACTCACCTCTCCTCCAAGGCGCACATCACTCGTTGCCGCGGTCGCCGACCGGCTTCCCTTACAGCTGGTGCGTGCAGCGCTGGCGCGGTGTGAGCGCATACTCACACTACACCAGTTTCCCTCCTATGGCGAGTTTCGAGTTCCAAGTGAAACAAAAACGGGCGAAACGGGACAGCGGGGAAAAGCAGGGGGGAGCGAAGGAACATGATCGCGCTCTTCGATATACGGCCTGGACCTCAATTTGCTCCTTCGCACGGGCGTACACCGGCTACGACTTCGCACGAGCGCACGCCGCTTACGACGTCGCACGGGCGTACACTTCATACAGTCACACACGCCCTCGTGAAACCCGCACAATCTTCGTGAGGTTGCCTCCTCCGTTTCAATAAGTGCCAGCCAACCGGCGTGGCTCATTCCGTAGGGTACTGAACCTGTCCACGCCACGTCCCAGGATCAGGTCCACCACTGTACGGGAACGGCCCTGCCCGAGAGCATCTGGCCGACCCACCCAAATGTGGGTGAATGGTAAACACCTGTAGCTATTGATAAACAGGTCATGGCTTTAAATCCTGGCGAATAAGGTGTGGGGCCCATAGCTTTGGCGACAAGGCGCCCGAAACCACCCAGAAGGGGGACCCCGCAGGCCCATCCGTGCCGGCCTGGAAACCCAGGACAGGTCATTTCTACATCACCCACGTCCCAGGGTCCCCCACTACAGGAACTGTCTGGTGCACATTATGGGAGGGTAGAGGGGGTAACCCCCTCCAACCCCAACGGACAGTCTGGTATGCGGACATCCTGTGATATCCGTAGATCCACCTAGGGAGTAAACAGCAATGGGAAAGGAGAAAGCAGAGTACCTGGTACCAAGCCCCCAGGGCCGAATACACGGTCATCTAGCATCCCAATGGTCAAGTGATCCCATCCCGAGCGAAAGGACAAGTGCCATCGCATTGTCACTTGCAGTTCCCCACTCCCTTGATTGCTGATTTCGGGAACTTCAGAAGAAAGTTCAGAGGCGTGCACTTATGTGCTCACGGCCCACTGCTTCACACGTTTCGTAAAAATGCATGCCCCAAATGATTACGATGTTGTGCCCGTATGCCATCCATGTCGGTAGCCAAATAGTCCCCATGTTTGGCGTTCCTTTACATCCATGATTACGCCTTCACCACCCACTATCCCTTTCATCCTTTCCCACTCTATTTTTCAACCAAGGGCGATTGCCATACAATCGTTCACCATCACTTGTCATTCCGGAAGGCTTCCTGGTCCATTAATTCGCACCGAACTGTTGTATCAGTGTTCCTTTCCATTCCCCCAAGCCTAGCCTTCCACAGCTTGTAGCTAGAATGGGCGTTCCAATGCGCACATTTGGTTGTTTGTGCCATCCCATAGTTGAGGACAGTTGTCGCCCTGCCATTGCAATTGCGGTGTGAAACCGGTTGTCTGCACACTTGCACCGTTCTTAGGACAAGGATCCGACGTGCCAGTATTACCACGATCACCCTCTTGGGCATCGATCAAATGCCCCACAAGTATTTAAATATAGCCATCATAAGTCAAGTTTTGTGTTGGTCATTGTTGTACTCGTCGATGTTGCAGTTTTCAATGACATTCCAGCATTGTTGGTCATCGTTTGTACATTGGGAATTTTGACGGCCATTTCATCCCCTTGTGACATTCACATAAGTGAACCCCTACTGCCATGGTTAAGCGTTAATGGTTTACTAAATCTAACAGTGCGTCATCGGGGAGAAGAAATGCAATGATGGGCATGAAACCTTTGTTGAAGACCAATGGTTGATGCAGTATCGTTGATTGGGCGAGACCACAACTAGTAGATATGAGCAAGTGTGTTCATGAACTCCCTCTTACTTTTTCCAATTTTGAAGAATGACCCTTTCATGCCCACGTACGTGCAATGGGCATCAAGCAAATATTTGACGGAGCATGCAACGTGAAAAGTATAAAGTCTAGCAATCCCAGAGGACACACAACTACTTAAGCGTTAGAGATCGTTGCATCAATCGGTCGACAAACTCTAACACTCTGAGAAGAATCACAAACCGTCAATAGAACACCTCCAGGTGTTGCAATGAGTGTTCAATTAACAATTACAGTGACATCAACAACTGGTAGAGCGTTTTGTTTTACATCTTAGAGCTCAATCGATTTTAGTGTGCCCAACATGGGGGGACATTTCATTTGCCCCGTCTTCTTCAATACAACCACCTCGCCGACTTCAATCACTATTGGACATATCACATATTGCGTTGTCAGGCACGACTGTCCCACACCCTGTGGCGAGTATCGGACCTCGTGTTACGCAGGAGGTTGGTAGTGTGTTGAGTCGGTGGAGACACCACTCTGACCGTATGCGTCAACTATACCTTTAATGACTCTTTGTTTCATGACAGAGCTCCGCGAGGTACAACTCTCTACCTGAGGGGTTGTCACCACCCTTAGGTAGGCATATCCCTGTTGAGCTACTGACTCGCGTGTGAAGGTTTTACTTGCAATCGCAGAGGTAAGTCAGTCGAGGGCGTTTTGCTCGATCGTCATAGCATAGGTTAAACGCGGTGGGATGTCTAAGACTGACTCATTTGAACATCAAACTTTGGGGCGTTGTTCTCCTAAATCGACTTAATTTCTCAGGTCGACCTTTTCACGGACGATCAAACATGGACCATTGGAATCGAAGGGTGATCTATTAAACCCCACAGTTATGAGGGTTGCAGATCTTTCCTTTTCACGACTCACGCCGAAAGAAAAATTACTCTTCTAGTATATCCTTTATGAAAATTAAACGGTTACAGGGGTTTCGCTAAATGAAATATGAATATACTTGTGGCGGACCTAATCGTCCTGCTATATAAATTTTACAAGTAACTCGTTATTTTAAATATATATATATATATATATATATACTTTTATTTATTTTTTTGAGTGTATTTTATCACTATTTGATACACACATTTTAACGTATGGCAAATAGAGACACTTATACATAAGATCGTAGAAAGATAACACAAGGGGTAATACTAGTGAAACATTTGTGATGTGTCTGAACAACTGTTAACACGATCAAGCCAGTCCAAGTCCAACGTCAAAGAAATGCATACCACAATGTCTGCATAAAAGATGTAGAAGACAAAATACATGTCATATGTTAACGAGAGTCAACTTCCTATCCGCACCATTGACATGTCTCTGACTTCCCCAAACCATGCTTAGCAACACTATTTTTCCTGAGACTCATTAAACCCGGCCCCCTCATTTAATTTCAAAGGATCTCTAAGAGCGACTAAGATATTCAGGTGTTGAACACAAAAAAACAATTTATTTGACTACAAGGTTTGTCTTTAGGTAGAGGTATCAAGTCAGGGGAATAGTTCAAATGGTAAAAACCAACTTGTTACCGAAATATAATAGACAATTGCAATTTGTGGGGATCCTTTTTATATATCCTTCCTCAATGCAGTATGACACCGACCTACACACACACATGTCGACAAAACTCAACATTCTCACTTTCACTTTTTACACATTGTTTTATGAGGGTCGAATCCTCAAATAATGATTGTAAGTTTCAGTTTTAACATCAAAAAGCTCAAACCATAATTCTCCTTCATAAACCTCTCTATACAGTCTGTCTCTAACTTGAGCCTCCATTCAAATGATTTTAGAGTCCACAAGTGGAATCTGTTTACAAAGCGTTTTTTTTATTATTATTATTTTTTCACGGCTTTGACCTTTCCTTTKTTTTTTTTTTTTAACACATAAAGGTATTCCCTACTGAAATACCTTTTTTTATTTTTTTTTGGTTCTTCTTAATCTGACTTACGCAATTAGTGGATCGATTCACACCACAATCTTCCATTACTGATCAATTATAGGCAATTTATATTCAAACAAGTAGTGGGATAACTCACACGGAAACATCCAACCACCCTTTCAATTCCTTTCAATCCATACGCAAACAAACCGTAGGATAAAAATAGATAAATTATACATAAACGATTCATATAAATAGTAAGATAACTCACACCGGAGTATCTCGCTACCGACCAATACAAAACAAACAATTGGATAGCTCACAACCTTATTTTTATTTATCTTGGTTTTTCTTAATCTGACATACGCAAGTAGCGTATCGATTTAAACTGAAATTTTTCGGTACCTATCAATTTCAGACAATCTATATTCAAACAAGTAGCTGAATAACTCACACTGAAGCATTCAACCACCCTCTCAATTCATTTTAATACACATGCAAACGAACTATAGGGTAACAATAAATAAACTTATACACAGATGATTCATATAAGTAGTATAATAACTCACATTGGAGTGTCCCACTACCGACAATTACAAAACAAACACTTGGATAAATTACTTTGGAGCGTTCTACCATTTTTTTTAACATTCGGTAAGCAAATTATATCCTATTACATTGTAGATGAATATAAACTTCAAACTAGTAATAAGATGACCCTCACTCGAGCCTCTCACTACCCTTGAATAACACGCAGTTTAACGTCGAAAGTGTAATAGGATGACCCGCACTTGAGTATCTTAATATCCGTTCAAGTAAGTTTATTTTAATAGACAACAAGTAAGTAGTAGAAAAACTCTCACTGGAGTATCCTACTACTTTGTCAACACTAGTCAGTTTGGATTCAAGTAAGTAATCTGATGACCCTCAATGGAGCCTCCTCCTACTTCTTGGACAATAAGTAGCTTAATCTCCAAATAAATAATACGATGATCCTCACTATAGTATCCTACTACTATTTTGACATTAGACTGATTGTGAGCAAGTAAACAGACAGGAAACAAATAGTAAGATGTCTTATAAAGAAGTCCTCACCACTCTTTTACCACAATTTAATTTAGATTAAAATAAACAATATGATGACCCTCACTGAAACCCTTTATCGCTTGAATATTAATAAGTCAGATCCTCGAACATGTAATAGGTTGAACCACAATGGAGTATCCTACTACTCGTTCAATATCAAACTAACAGATCTTTATGAATGCGAACACAAAACAAGTAGTAGGATACTGCTTAATCAAAACTAATTAGTTTAAATTTCAAATAAGTAACACGATGACCCTCACTTGTGCCCCTCACTACTCCTTGTAGCTTAACAAGTAATAGGATGACCCTAACTGAAATATCCTACTACCCGTTCTGCATTAGACAAGTTTAGGACAAGTAAACAGACAGAAAACAAATAGAAAGATAACTCATACTAAAATAT